AGCCCCTCCCTCTCAGTTTTCAGTTCCTCAATATCACGGCTAATTGACAATATTGCTGAAGACAGCCACAGATTTTCAGTGACCTGAAAATCGCAATGGGGTGGAAAGGGAGAGGAAAGATCTCTCCTGTCCACCACATTTTAGAGACTTAAACAAAAGCATTCGCTCTTTTAATAGTTTTTATATCTGGTAACTGTGAGGAGGCTAGGGGACACAAGCTGGACTTCTTCTACAGCAATGTGGAGGAGTTGGTTGAATATGCACAAAAAACCTTCATCAAAGAATGTGCCAGCAGCATACAAAATGCTTTGAACAAGAGAAGCTGGCCCCAGGTCTGCACCTTTATTTGAGCAGGGGGAGGGCAGGTAGAGGACAAAGCACGCACTGGTACTCGCCTCAAAGCCTTTGGAACATTTCCAAACAGCTGAACCATCACGTTTCGCAGTCATCTTAGAAATGCTTTCTGACAGAAGCTGTTACTGAAGTCTTTAATCAGTGGCTCAGCTCGCCTCCATGCGAGGTACGGTAATCCCAGGCCTCACTCAGCAATGCTGCCTCTGAACTGCCCGTGACCACACTGGCTGCCATTCATTCCCTCCATTTGTTTCCCTTTTCTTAAATAGTTGACAGTTTGTATTGTATGAAGAGAAGGGGAAGGATTTGTCGTATTACAGAGGGATTGTGCTTAGGAACATCTGGTGAACGCATCTCTCTCCCATCCCCAACCCTCTCTTCCAAGAATAACTCAACCACAGTTCAGTGATCTGCCTGTGATCGCATTGCCTCGGCTGAGCCACAGCCTCCCCGGTGAATGAATGTATAGCTGTCGGAAGGACGGCAAAGGGGCCCCATCAATACCAGTCTCTCGCAGAGTCTCTCGGAGCTCAGCATCCTGTGTCAGCGACTGCACACACGATCTAGACCAGAACACAGAGAATCTCTGCTGATCACCCCCACTAACATCAGTGAGCAGCCCAGAGACAGACGCACAAAGCACACAGTGCACAAAGCACCTTAGTCCATTGGGATTTGGTGCTGGAGTAGTGCTGACTAGCTACTCAACACACAACAACAACTTGCATTTATACAGCGCCCTTCACATGAGGTAGCGTCTCGGAGCGCTTAAAGGGTGCACACAAAGAAATGGCCCTGAACCCACAGTTTATAACATTTGCTGAAGCCACTAAATTTAGCTCACTTTAAATGTGAAATCAGAAGGTTGAGGGCCGACCTGCTGGAAGATGAAAAAAGGGTTGTGATAGGGTCTGTCCACTGAGAGTCACATCAGTCACGAGAGGGCACACATTTACATCCATCACAACAGGGGAGGGTTAGAGATCTCTACGCAGAGGTAGTTGGCAAGTGGAATTCTCCATTATAAACCATAGCTGAAGCAGAGCTTATATGTTCAAGACGTTTGAAGAGGAGTAAACTGAAAGCTTTAGGGGAGCGAGGCAAGCAGCAAGCCAGGGAAGGTGATTATCTGGGCCAATTGAAATTGCAGCCGCAATTTTTCTGCGGAATCCACTATAAACCCACTAAAAAAAAAGTTTCTGACAAGCGGAAAATGGGCCTCACTGCACTCAGAAGCCCCGCTGTTGTGATTGTCTGTGGGTCTCCCTCTCTTATGTATTTGTGAGTGTCTCTAGGTGAGTGTGTCTCTCCTCTATGCATTTGTTAGTGTGTCTCTTTATCTGTGTCTGTGTGAGTGTCTATGTAAGTGTGTCTCTCTCCTCTGTATGTGTGTCTGTGAATGTGTTTGTGAGTGTTTCTTCTATGTGTGTGTTTATGAGTGTGTCTGTGTGAATGTGTACGTGTGTCTCTCCTCTGCCTGTATATGTGTATGTCTCTTTGTGTCTATAAGTGTGTGTGTCTCTCTCTCTGAGAATGTGTGGCTCTGTATCTGTGAGTATGTGTCTCTCGTGTCTGTGTGTGTCTCTCTTCGTGTCTGTGAGTGTGTGTCTGTGAACGTGTGTCTCTCTCTCCGAGTGTGTGTGTGTCTGTGTGTGTTTCTCTCCCCGTCTCTGAGTGTGTGTATCTCTCTGTGTCTTTGAGTGTGTGTGTGTGTCTGTCTCTCCCTCTCTCTGGGTCTCTGTGTGGTGCTGGATCATGAGAGGTAGGAGGTGGTGAGCTCCTGTAGCCACGCAGTTAGGACAATAGTACTGAATGATGGATCTCAAGACCCTCGGCCCTTCGCTGGTGTCCCCCCCCCGGGCCACTCAGTTTTTGTCAAAGAATAAATTAATTTTTTTTGCAACAATCTAATATGACCTCATCATCACCGACAAAGCCATCTTGGACTTCATCTCCCTTAACTCCTCTTAACTCCTTAATCCCTCTCCCCACCCCCACTCAACCCATATCCGCTTCCTACCGCCCCTAAAAAACAATCTCCACACCCCCCCACCTTGCCTTGGAGTCATCTGAACTCCTTCCCCTCTGGGCTTCCTCCCGCAATGATCTATCCTCCTCGGTCACTATCCACACAACTCCCTCTCCACTACTCTCAATTCCCTTGCTTCCCTCACTTCCCAAACCATCTCCTATTCACGAAAGTCACCCTGGTCCACCAGCCACCTCCGCTCCTTTAAGGACAGGTGCATGCCACTGAGCTCATATGGGGTTAAATTCAACTTAACAGTCCATCGGCAGATCTGGCCGGACCTTATCAAATCTTACCACTCCGCTCTCTCCTCCGCTAAATTGTGTTCCACTACAAGGAAGGCAAAAAACAACTCCAAGCCCCTCTTCTCCATCACCCACCAGAGTCCCTCACAAACCTTGCCCATCCTCACCTCCAATGCCTACTGCGAGGCGTTGCTGGACTTCCTCGAAACCAAAGTCGAGGGGATCCGCTCAGCTGCCTCTGCCCTTCTGTCCCCTACCCCTCCCCATCTCCCCCTCCCACTCCTACCCATCCCTTCACACCTCTGAACCTACCTCCCACTCCTCTCTCACCACCACTATAATACGCATGAAACCGACCACCTGCTCCCTCAACCCCATCCCTACTCCTCTCCTTACCTCCCAGCTCCACCTCCTTCCCTTTTACTCACAGACTTCATAAACCTCTCCCTGTCCACTGGTACTGTTACCACCCCTTGAAAAACAGTCGTCATCACTCCTATCCTTAAAACACCCTCCCTGGACTCATTCCTGCTCTCAAACTACCACCCCATCTCCAACCTCCCTTTCCTCAACAAGGTTGTGGAACGAGTTGTTGCTTCCCAGCTTCGCTCCTTCCACTCCCGCCACTCCCTTCTCGAACCCTTCTAATCGGGTTTCCGTGCCGTCCACAGCACAGACTCCAGTCTGGACAAAGTGACAAATGACATTCTGTCCCTCTGCAACCAGGGCTCCTTCTGCCTCATCCTCCTTGACGTCTCTACTGCCTTCGATACTGTTGACCACTCTATCCTTCTCCACCGCCTCTCCTTTCACCCCAATCTTCACGGTTCTGTCCTTGAATGGTTCAGATCGTACCTCTCACAATGTCTCCACTTCATCTCCATAAAAGGTTTCTCCTCTAGCCCCCGCACTGTCTCATGCAGTGTTCCTCAAGGCTCTGTCCTTGGTCCCCTCCTCTTCAATGCTTCCTCTTGGTGACATCATCCGCAGACATGGGGTCTACTTCCACATGTATGCGGATGACACCCTCTCTACCTCTCTGCCTCCACCCTTGACATCACGTTCTGGATGAGAGCTAAATTCCCAAGTTGAAAATCAACAAGACCGAGGCCCTCCTGCTTGGCTCGTCAGCGCCTCCATGCCTCGGGTGCTGACAACATGTCCCTCCATGGATGCAAACACCTTACAGAGCCAATACAGAACCTCAGCGTCCTGTTTGACCCTCAATTGTTCTTCATCTCCCACATCCGTGCCATTCCCTACCTACGCAACATTGCCCGGCTCTGCCACTGTCTTTCACCGCAGGCCGCCGAGACCCTCATCCACACATTCACCATAGTCAAGCTTGAATACGCAAACTCTCTGCTTGTCCTTCCCAATGCCTCCCTCCACAAGCTGCAGATCATCCAGAAATATGCAGCCCATGTCCTCTCTGTGACCTTATCACCACCATCCTCACCCAACTCCCATCACACAGAGGATACAGTTCAAGAACCTGGTGCTTACCTTCAAAGCCTTCCATGGCCTCGCTCCTTCTTATCTCCGTGACCTGCTAACTCCCTAACAACCTGCCATCTACCTCCGCTCAGCGAGCTCTGGCCTGCTTCACATTCCCCGCCTCACCTGCCCCACCATTGGCGGGCAGGCCCTCTACAACTTTGCCCCACCTTCTGGAACTCCCTCCGCAGACCCTCCAGCTCGCCCCCTTCCTTGGCCTCCTTCAAGACCTTCCCCTTCGACCGTGCTTTTGATCACCCTTCTTTTTCCACTGCCCTCCACCCTCCCCAATCCCGACCCCCAGCTGAGGTCTGAAACACTGACTGTCCAGCGCCTTGGGATGTCCTCCCGACGTGAAAGGCGCTTTTTTTACAAATGGAATCTTGTTGTTGATGTGTTATTTCCTCAGGTTTAGTTTTTATCAATGAAGTGAAAAAATGTAGACTGTCAGTAAAATTGACCTCAATAGAATCAACCAACTCCCCGCAATTCTTGGCAAATATTTCCATATTTTTCTATTGGTCCTGGCAATGACATTAGGTGAATGATGTGGAGAAACCCTGCGTTGAGTGAATGGGAACTTTACACAACAAATCATTAGTGGGGGATAGAGGAGCAGCGCAGGCTTATTGTGCTGTGCAACCGAGCTGACAGGCCTTGGTCATGCAACTTGCTAAGTCATGAGTATCAGTAGGGCTACACCTTCATTCACTCCCAAATCCTTTCTACTGTTCACAGACCTAGTTCATCTCCTCTCTCCACACACTCTATGGGCATGTTACTAATATTCTCAATAACAAGTGTTTATATAGCACCCTTCAAACGGGGGAGGGTCTCGGAGAGCATACGGGAGGAAGCTAAATCCCAAAGCTTACCAAAGCAGTTTCTTCTGTGAGGAACAAACATCTTGCATGCTGTGGCGATGGGAAGCTCGGCAGCAATGATCGTCTTAATCACCAGATCCTCAATCTGAGCCATCAGAGCTACGGAGCAAACAGTAGGCGGCAAATCAATAGCCTGTAACCAACCCTTCAACACCCGCCCCCACCGCCGCACCACCGGCTCAGCCCCATGCTCACCCACTCACCACCCCTCCAACCCGACACATACCCACACCCCGGCTCACCCATAGTGTCCCTCCCCTCCTGCTTCAGGTATCGTAGCATGGCGCTCATACTCCACTTGTTACCATAGTCCTCCACTTCTGGGTCATCACAACTGCAGAACAGAGAGTAAAGTCACAAGGATGCTGGGCTGGAGAGAGATTCCGTGCCAACCTCTACACCAGCTGCTCAGGCTGTAGTACCCTCCGCAAGAGGCAAGCAATGGGACCCAGCGCCAATAGCAGCATCTGAAAGGTCAGGGGTTGTTCTAGCAAATGGCCATAATCACAGCCAGCCTGAACCACCCCTCACTGGGTCCATGGCTGGATATTTCAACCTATTCAGTGAGCCTGTGAGTGAGGTTAGGATCTGTGGTTGTTACTCATCAAGCACACATTCCTCCACTCTGTTGAGACCAACTCGCAGGTCAAGTTCACCGCAGGACAATCCCAACCCACCCCCACCCACACCACTTACACAATGACACCAGCAATTAAAATTAGAATGTTTGTAACCTAACCACACACACAGGCAGATATATTTAACTTAGAATTTTTACTGTAATTGCCACTGACAGGCTTGGGTTCCCTTTGAAATGCAATCCCTTTCTCTTCAGCTATAAATGTGCATCATGTTAGCTCCACAGGTTGTATTTCAAGATAATTAGAATCAAACCAATGTTTAAACCCTTTCAACCTGCTCCAAGCTTCTGCTGAGAGTTGGACTGAATTTATTAAACACTTGACTTCCATGCTGAAAACTCCTTATAAAGAGGCAGCTTCGTGCAATTTTATGATTCTATTTATTCTACTTAAAATGTTCTTGTTGCCATCAGCATCAAGCACTCCCAGGTCAGCGACAGCATGGGTTAGTCACAGTAAAGCTCCCTCTACCCTGTCTGTCCACACTCCCAGGTCAGGGGTAGAGACACAGTAACGCTCCCTCTACCCTGTCTGTCCACACTCCCAGGTCAGGGTTAGAGACAGAGTAAAGCTCCCTCTCCACTGTCCGTCCAAATTCCCAGGTCAGGGTTAGAGATACAGTAAAGCTCCCTCTACATTGTCCGTCCACAGTTTGCCCACAAAATATAGTTAATTCACTTTACAGCATATCCTGTGAAACGCTTTGAGACGTCTCGAAGGCATGATAAAATGCTATATCAAATGCAAGGATTATTATCAAATGTAAGAATTATTATTCCCAGGTCAGGGACAGCACAGGTTAGAGTGAAGCTTAACAGGGTTAACAACTTGATATGGTCCCAATCACTTTGAAAGATCTCAAACCACTTTACTGGAGGAGTTACTTTGAAGTGCAAAGTAACTGTTATGTAGGTTAACATGGCGTTAGATCTGTGTCATCAGCATCCCACATATGGTGATGAGATAAATGATCAATTAACATGGGGTTTGGATGAGAGAGGAGTGCTGGCCTGGACACCAAGAAAACATAAAAGCTGGGTCATGAGCCACACTGACAGGAATTCAGAGTAGATAATGTGAATGGGTGGGGGCGGGGGAGGGAAGAGAGAGAAACTCAATCAATCAAATGTACTGCACGATGCAAGGACTAGAAGCGGATTTCACTCACTCATGGATGGGCTGATATAAAAATAACTTTGTTCCAAACCTGCTACTGATTTTATTTCTTTCAACATGTGCCAAACAGTAAAACAGGATTATTCTCTCCTGCAAACACTCAGTGCGCAGAATTCTTGCACAGCTCAACCACGCAAGCCCGACCCGTGCCAGCTCAAGAGGCACACAGGGGGCATCCGTTGCCTCAAGGGAAGCACCATGCTGAAGTCCTGAGCCCAACATACCAGGGAGGGGGAGTTAGCAGGTCCCAATAGGGCATTATTGGTGGTGGGGGGGGAAACACAGACGGATGTTGGACAAAGGCAGTAGGGGGCCCAGGTACCTCTATGGCATCGCTTGATGATCTGCAGCAGGAGCACTGGTCAGGCTGATTCATTTTTAATCTAGTATAGATGCAGTATGTCATCAAACTCTCCTCATCAACCAATGACTTGCAGGCGACATACCAACATACCGGGTGCGTACGATAGGTTTGGGCCCGGCACACAATCTGCACGCAGACCCGTGGACACAGAACCACCCCACTGCAGCAGCCCACCCAGGCACTGACGGTACCTGACGTAGTCAAGGCTTTTCTTGTTGATACTGTAATTGGTCAGGTGCATAAACTGGTTCCTGATGTTCTTCATCCCATGGTCGTACTTCACGGTGGCAAACCTTTGGGGTAAGAGCACAGAGTTACACAGAGTTGCAGAACTGCCAGCAAATCAGCAACAAAAACATTCTGTACAACATCGGATCAAATCATTGGACTTTGGCTCCACCTTGTGTACAAGAATAGGATTGCACCTAATGAAAGTTATCCTGCGGAGTGGGGGAGGTGGGGGGTGGTAAGCAGGGTCTCCTTGGAGCTAAACTGGCCCTGAGGTGACATGCCTGGCAATAGAATGATACAATAAGCTGTGGGAAAGCTTGTCAGACAGCAATATCAATCGTAAGCTGCATGGGTTGAGCTGGTTAGACACTAACAGCACCCCAGCTCACACTTTGGGGTCTCCAAGCCTTGGCTCTTGCCAACATGCACCTAATACTTTCTGGAATTAGGTAAGCAAGATGTGTCCCTCCAGGGAGAATGTGTGCAATCCATTCCAACAATCTATCGCTGAGATTTCCATGTGTAGGTGGGATGAATGGAAATCTCAGCTTGGTTTGGAGTCCCTTAAGCCTGGTGGTGGGTTTCCACATGTCAGACAAAAAAATCCTACCTCTCCCACCGTCTCCACTAACGGCTTCCCCTCTAGCTCCTCACCGTCACGAGTGGCGTTCCTCAGGGCTCTGTCCTTGGTCCTCTCCTTTTCAACATTTACATGCTCCCTCTTGGTGACATCATCTGTCGACATGGGGTCAACTTCCACATGTATGCAGATGACACACAACTCTCCCTCTCTGCCTCCACCCTCGACTCCAGGACCACTGCTGTCCTCACAGAATGTCTATCAGACATCAAGTCTTGGATGAGTGCTAAGTTCCCAAGTTGCATGTCAAGTTCGAATAAACTCCTTGCTTGTCGACCTCCCTAACCCTTCCCTCCACAAGCTGCAGATCATCCAGAACTCTGCAGCTCGTGTCTTCTCCCACACCAGGCTCCGCAACCCTATCACCCCCATCCTTGCCCGACTCCACTGGGCCCCATCACTCAGAGGATACAGTTCAAGATTCTGCTCCTCACCTTCAAAGCCTTGCACAGCCTTGCTCCTCCCTACCTGTGACTTCCTAATCCCCTACCAACTTGTCCGCTCCCTCCCCTTAGCGGGCTCTGGCTTGCTTCACGTCCCCCGTCCTGCCCGCCCCACCATTGGCGGGTGGGCCTTCAGCCTCTCTGCCTCCACCCTCTGAAACTCCATCCCACAATCCCTCCGCCTCGCTCCCTCCTTTGCCTCCTTCAAGACCAGTCTCTAGACCTTCCTCTTCTACCGTGCCTTCGATTTGCCTCCTGCCCCTATCCTCCCCACCCTCTACCCCAAACACCAGCTCAGGTGCGGATCTCTGACTGTCCAGCCCCTTGGGATGTCCTCCTGACGTGAAAGGCACTGTAATTTGTTGTTGGTTGTATTTTACACCAGAGAACAAGGGAAGTAAGGAGTGCTGATGTGTTTGAGTGCAGCCACCCTCCAGAGCTAGGCAGTGGCGACACACGGATGGGGACACACATGGAGAAGGAGGCTTACCTTGTGAGCCCTTCCTCATACAAATAAACTACCAGTGGTTCGTATGACGTCACCAGCACGTACAGCCTCATGTCAAACTTGAAGCCTGGAAATAAGCTAAAATAAACAAAGAGAGTATGTTCCCCCCACACCTAGAGTACAGCACCCCCCAACTCACACCAACCCATTTCCATTTTCAGCCAAACCCAAACCCACACAATGCTGCTGGACAGCACATCACATTCACAAGGTTTGTGACAGCAATGTCTCACAAACAGCCATCAAACAAATGATCAATTTTACCTTGGAGACCGTCAGCCAGTCCACCAAATAGAGCCATGGGATCTTTAATCCAAACGGGAGATAGCTACCGATTGGTTTGAGATAAGAGGAGTGAAGTGTGGTCCCACAGGCCAGTCACATCTGGTTATAACACGGTGGTTTGGGTTCACACAAGTCAGACCCTACATTATTAAAATGGCCATCGCTTACATCTGTTCCCACATTCTATGCCTTCCTGGCCAGTGCTCCTGTACACTGCAGGTCACAGTACACCCACACTAGGGACAGTAGGGGGATGGAGGTGGGGGGGGGAAACCTGACTGGAGAACAGAAAACAGAATTGAACTAATTGGAAAGCACTTTAAGAGCAAGTACAGACATGTTGGCTCTGTGCTGAACATTTGTACTGTTTTCTGGAGTGAGGGATCCCCAAGGTTCTCTCTAAGCACTCTGGGGCACAGGGCGCTATATAAATGTAAGCTGTTGTTCATCATCACAGCATTCAGCAGGGCAGGGCATTGGTAGCTCAGCCAGCATCTTCATCACCTCCAGCTCTACTTCTCCACATCTCAATGTTCTTGTTAACCTGATGGCTTTGGCCAGTCAGGACCCAGTCAGCCAGTGGTGGGCACGAGGCTTCCCTCACTGCTCTGCACTGGTAACCAGGTCCCACTGGAAAGCGTGTGTGTAAAACCATTCAATGAGCTCTTACCATCAATCAGCAGCGGGGATCGAATGTAGCGCGACACCAGGATACTCTCATCAGTGATGATCTGGACTGGCTGAAACATTCACAAGAAGTAAGGAATAAGGTCGCACCTAGTTATATTCAGAGACAAGTCGGAGGCATATTTTCTCTCCCTCCCAGGTATGTGGTAACTCACTCGCTGTGAGAGGGAAAGTTCAGTAACCAGAGTGTGCAGTGCAGGCGGCTCAGTCTGCCTCCAACTGAGCATCGAGCCTCCTCCAGCTTCACCTGCATTATACCACCCCCCCACAAGCTCCTGCTGCTAGCCCCCAGCCTCACAATAGGATCTCACCAGAGGCCCAGCAGAGCTCACCGTTACACAGCTCACTGCTGTCCTACTCCTCTCTCTCCCTACCCCACCCGTGTCTCCTCTATACCTCCCCATGTCTCTCCTGTGTCTCCCCCCGCATCTCTCCCCACCTCATGTATCAAATGGGTGGTTTGCAACAGTAAAAACGTCCCAGATGGCCATTTGCTGCTGCTCCAGCGCTTGCTCTTGGATAATGCCCAATAACACTCTGACATTTTGCACACGTCCTGACTCGCCCAGAGCTGCAGCACTTACGTTGCTGACCAGGTACACGCCACGGCCCCGGGATGACGCCACTGGCTTGACAATCCACGGCCCTTTATCCTTCATGTTCGCATCTTCACAAGTAAAAGTGGAAGAAATTTAGCTTCCGTGTGTTACACAGAGAGCGAAAGAGAGAGTGGGAGGGCAGAGAGAACAACAGAGTTGAAACTGGTTTCACTCCAGAATGGTGAGAGTGAGACAGCAGAACCCGGTCACTTGAGATACTGACTAACATTTAAAAAGGAATTGGATAAGTGTATGTAGGGAACCAGGAAAGGGGGAGCAACGAGCTGACAAGAAAGGCTCTTACTGTACAGCTCCTGGAACTCAGTGGGAAGGACGAAGGTCTGAGGAACAATGCTGAAATTCTTAAAGCCGTGCAGTTGTTGCATCCGCTGGATATTCTTATACAGACGATCCTTCCTGGTCAGCTCATAGGATCTGCAACAGAGCAAACAACTGTCATGGACACAGGCACAGCATATTCTCTATCCTCTCTGCTCCCCCACCCCATTCCCAGGCTGAGGACACAAGGAGAGAAACAGCTCCGGGGCACAGTCCCTCTTTCCTGTCCCCTTCCCCTAAACAGGAAACCTCCAGATGGATGCTCTGCGCTCCCAATTACCCTTCAACACACGAGTATCGAGAGCAAGCTTGCGCCCAACATTCTGAACACTCCCCCAGCATTTTACACTCAGAAACAAACCATAATACAGGAACAGCAATAATAGAACAACCCCCTACAGGGATGCCTAATGACTGAATTCAATCTCGTCACAAGCACAAAACGCACATGGCAGGTGCAGCAACAGTCACACACCTCGGGAAGTGATTGACTTTCTGAAAGTCCAAGAGAGTGCGCAAGTGCTGGGGCTTGAGATGGGTGCCTGTCCACATGAGGTTGAAGTCATTACTGTTGGGATTGACCTGAAAACAAAAAGACAGGCAAACAAAATGTAGCATTAAAGGATTGGACCCTGCTGCTCTGGTGTCGGTCCGCTCTCTTTAATAAATGTTTCTGTGCAGTTAGAACAAGACCTCTCATTTCACACACAGGAAAGCGATTCACAAAGCAACCAAAATCAGAAGGTCATTCTCATCGAGTCTAGCTCCCTGTGGGCGTGCCTGAAGTTCGGGGCTGACCCATGGAGTCCTGCAGCTTAATGGTTAGAGCATTTGCAAGCGAGAGGAGCTGGATTCGATTCCCGGGCAGGGAAAAATGTTGGGCAAGTTTCCTTACTCCACATGCCTCTGCTTACCGAGAAGTAGGTAGGAACCCAATGCTCTGGGGGTAAATAATCGCTTCAAAAAATAAATTAATAATAATGATAATTTGGTCACTCAATCCATGACGCAATTGGCTGCTGCGTTTCACCCACAAAATATACAATCAATTCACTTTACAGTATATTCTGTTAAGCCATTTGAGGCGTCTCAATGACGTAATAAGGCGCTATATCAAATGTAAGGATTATTATTATTACGGAATGCCAGTGAATGGTACCGTGAGCCCTGTGCACACTTCCTTATCACTAACAGGCAAATGCTCATGGAGGCCAGGCAATTGCCTCCGGGTTACTTCATGGATGGCTCTATATAAGTGCAAGTAGTTGTTGTTACTCCGCGCACAGCCTCAAGCAGCTAGTGTCAGGCAGCCTCAGTGCACGCTGAGCAAAGGAGAACACAGACCTTACAGGCTAGTCGGCTGGTGCTCAGAGACTAAAACAAGGGAAGAAACAACAACAAAATTACACTTATAGAGCGCCTTTCACGTCGGAAGGACGTCCCAAAGCGCTGAAACATACATCAACATCAGTGAGTCTCAACTAAACCTAACACAAACCTAAAAGGTACCCACCTCCTGGAAGCCATGAGCAGAGAGAATGTTGCGAACCAGCCTGCTCTCCGTGCGAACGATCTTAAACGACAGGTGATAACGATCTAAAGAAAACACACTGAATCACTCAATAAAGAGGCACATCCCAGCGGATCGTATCAATGTCAAAGGATATACAACAGACATAAACCCAGCACATCATGCTGGGAGTACACTGAACTGTACCCTTCTAGTGCTCTCTCAGGTTAGCGATAGCACAGCAATGTGGGCACCCCAGAGCATTGCTCATCAAACCCGTCCCAAAGAGGCCAAACACAACTGCTGCTACATACGCTTCATGTAAAGCTGTTATAGACAAGGAAAGGGCGACACCTCTGGCCACCGCTAGGATACCTACTACCAACGTGGAGCAAGGCTGTGTCCTTGGTGACAATGCCCTCTGCATGGAATATGAAGATAGGGATCTTGTGGCTGCTCCCTGTCCACTGGATGCACGGATGCTCCCTACAACAACAACAAAAACAACAACAGTTTATCAAAGGCTTCCCTGTTGTCGTAGTCCCCGTACCCACCTGGAAATATCCCGTCAGAGGTTCCTCCCTCCCCCCATCTTCCCCACCTCCAGAAACATCCTCGCTTCACTGTTTAGCATTGAAACATATAACTTATTGTGGCTTTTCCCAAGATAATCTGAACATTGGCTGGTTCCAAACCCACCAGCTGTGTTCCTTTTTCCAGAGGCCAAGCACAACCCTGCAGTCACACAGTCTACCCACCAAGGGACACCCCACACTGGTCACTGTGTTACATTAACCCTAATGATACCTGTAACAGCAGCACATCAGAGATATTCCCAGCACTGAACTAAGCCACGCAGCCCATTGTGTCTGTTACCTATTGTATTAATCCCACTGGTCAGAATTTTCCCCAGAGCCTTTAATACCTTATTACTCGATAGTTATCCTGTTCCATTTTGAACAATGCTATTAATCCAGCTTTAATAGTCACGTGTGGCAATTAATTCCATATGCTGACATTACTTTGAACACTCCGCTCACAATGCTGAAATTATTTCGTCACCTCTCCCTCCGTTTGCCTCTTTACCTCGTTTTGCCCCTTCATAACCTGAGTACTCAAAGAGTCTCCAGCTCACAGGTGTGTTTAAGTCCTATCAGTCCCTTACCATTACCCACACTTACTCCAGATCCTCATCTTCAGTTGAGCTGGCTCCATTCTCCAGTGACTCAGTCATCACAGGCACGTCCACACCACCTTCTCCAGGACCAAACGACACTCCTGAACTGTGGTGGGGTCCCCTCGTCTGTGACATTCCGCCCCACAAGTGGTTACACATCAGGCGTCCTCACTGAAAAACAACATGCTGATCAGCAACCCTGTGAGTGGCCAAACATGAAACATTATTCACATGCTCAGCACATCATCGCTTCACACGTCACTGCTCAGGTACACTGGGTCTTCACCTCATGACTGTTTGGGGTGCAACTACACTCAACAGCCATTCACTGCAAAGCAGGTAGAGGGTTTGATTTTATAGGTGCTTTATTAAATGTAAGGAGTATTATTAGACTGTGATTGCAGCCTTTGGGACGTGCTCCTGACGTGGAAGGTGCTATACAAATGTAATTTTGTTATTGTTGCCGTCACTCCATCAGGTGAAAATGAAGAGAGGAGATCAATAAGTGAGTGTTTTTACAGACTGAAACCTGCTTGATGAGATCCACTGCCGTTAAAGATCATCTGAAGTCGATTCCAAAGTACGCACTACAGTTAAGTGTCTCTGTGTGACAGAATTAACAATTAAGCCACTGCCACTGTCTGTCCAGTTATTGCTACCACTGATCATATAACTCCAGATTATAGAGTATTAAGTGCTTGTGAAATTAGTGACGAAACACTATTCAAGTCAGATGAAGTGAGACGGAAAGGGATCTGTACCCTACGTTCATCACTACCCGCTCATGGGAACAAACATGGGGGGTTATCGGGGCTCCTCACATCAGGGTCTGACCTCCGTTAGCAACAACAACAAAATAACAACAACAAACTTACATTTCTATGACGCCTTTCACATCAGGAGGACGTCCCAAGGCGCAGATACTCATCCACTATAAATATTTTATAGGTTATACATTATGGCCCTTGCCACGTGGCAAAGCATTCCACGTGTAACAAGCTCATGCCTGAGAACGATTCATACCTCATCCTGGCATTTATATCACATCCTTCACATAGAGCAACATCTCTTAGCACTTTACATAGGCAGTCCCAGACAATTGAGGGGCGACGGGGGGAAACGGTCGTAACTGCCGATAGAGCAGATGGGAGCATAAAGCAACAACAACAACAAAATTACATTTATAAAGAGCCTTTCAAGTCGGGAGGACATCCCAAGGTGCTGGACAGTTAGGGGACAGGGGGAGGGGTGGGGTAGGGGTGAGAGAAGGCAGAGAGGTGGGAGGGCGACTGAAGGCACGATCGAAGAGGAAGGTCTTGAGACCGGCGTTGAAGGAGGTAAGGGAGGAATCGAAGCAAAGGGACCGTGGAACGGAGTTCCAGAGTGTGGGGGCAGAGAGGCTGAAAGCCCGGCCACCGATGGTAGGGCAGGTCGGGCGGGAGACATGGAGCAGCCGGAGCCGCTGAATGGAGGGAGCGGGCAGGTTGGTAGGGAGTCAGCAGGTCAGAGGTAGGAGGGGTCAAGGCCATGGATGGCCTTGAAAGTGAGGACAAGGATCTTGAATTCAATCTTCTGAGGGATGGGGAGCCGGTGGAGTCGGGCGAGGGTAGGAGTGATGGGGTCACATAGCCTGGTGCGCGAGAGTACACGAGCTGCAGAGTTTTGGATGATCTGCAGCGTGTGAAGGAAAGCTTTGGGAAGGCCGATGAGGAGGAAATTTCCATAATCGAACCTTGATGTGACAAATACGTGGGTGAGGATTTTGGCAGCCTGAGGGGTGAGGCAGGGGGTTATCGGGGCTCCTCACGTCAGAGTCTGACCAAGACGGAGGGGTTAGGGAGGCAGTACCAGAGGGGAGGAACATAATGGCCGAGAACATCAATGGACTCAGAATTAAGGGGAGAAGTAGAGTAGATTTGGGCATCACCTGTTTATATGGAAACTCACCCCACGTTTGCAGATGATGTCACAATGGAGGAGCACATAGATGGGGACAGAGCCCTGAGGTTCTCACACAGGAACTGTGCGACAGTGAGAGGAGTCTCACTCAGTTGGAAGCACTAAAGCTCAGTCAGAAGATTGTGGGTTCAAGGCCCACAAGTGAGACCAACAGATTGCCCTGGGAGCATCGATCATCACTTACCAGGTCATCGCCTGCCTTATATACAGCTTTGATTTTGGCTGATGCACATCATCATTTCATAACAAACGGATTAAAAATTATCACCTTAGTAATTTTTACGCTTGATGGTTAATTTTAAAGGAGCATTGAAGCAAAGCAAAGTTAATAGTAACATAGGAACAGGAGTAGGCCAATCAGCTGCTCAAACCTGTTCCACCATTCTAAAAGACCGTGGCTGATCTGTACCTCAACTCTAATTACCCATCTTTGCCCCATATCCCTTGACACCCTGACCTAACAAATATCTATCCACATCAGTCTTGAAAATTTGAATGAAAAATACTAGTCCGCAATAGCATTTTCTGCTTCTGTCCCAAACAATAAATACATTTCTAAGTATAAAAGCAGAAGTGATTAAATCACTTTGAAGTGCAGGGTTTCCGACACCCCCCTAGGTCCAGGGGACAATTAAGTGAGAAAAGGATAACATTATAGTGGAAATGGATAATATCCTGGTTGCTTCTTGGGGTGGAGCAAGCAAGGCTGAGAAATTTCACGTAACCAAACCCAAGAAAATTAGAACTTGCATTCTTTCACATCAGCTTCACAAACATTTCCACTATAATGCTGTGCTTCCTGATGGCACAGACTGCACACTATCTATGTAGGGCACAGGCTTAATGGGCTGAATGGCCTTTTCATATTTCACCATTTCTTAGGCATGCTCCTTATTGATGGCAGCAGTCTGTTTAAAACACAAAGGCAGGCCATCAGAGGCTACACCCAGAAGTCTCTTAACACAACAGAGTTCATTATATGGACAGGCAACAGTTGAATCCACAGTACTGTTCAAAAAGAGAAGGAAGCTTCTCCCGGTCCCCTTGCCAACAATTACCCAAATAAAATTGGTCATTCACTTCATGGCTGTTTCTGGGACATTGCTGTGTTCAAAATTGGCTGCTGCGTACGCGCACAAACACAGTCATTACATCCGTATATATCCTTCAAAGCCCTTTGGGACATCCTCCTGACGTGAAAGTTACTGTAAATAACAAATATCGTGTTTGATGTACATATGTACAATACAATACAAAATTATATTTGTATAGCGCCTTTCACATCAGGCGACATCCCGAGGTGTTGGACGGTTAGGGATTTGGACCTGAGCAGGGGAGTTGGGATCAGGGAGGGTAGGAAGGTGGCCGAAGGCACAGTCAAAGAAGAGGATCTTGAGATGTCCCTTGAAGGAGGCAAGGGAGAGTGCGAGGCAAAGGGAATGTGGGATGAGTTCCAAAGGGAGGCAGAGAGGCTGAAGGCCCGACCGCCAATGGTGGTGCGGGCCAGGCGAGCGATGTGGAGCTGACTAGAACCTGCTGAGCAGAGGGAGTGAGCAGGTTGATATGGGGTTACCAGGTCAGAGGTAAGAAGGGGCAAGGCCATAGAGGGCCTTGAATGTGAAGATGAGGATTTTGAACTCTATCCTCCGGAGGATGGGGAGCCGGTGGAGCCAGGCAAGAGTGGGCTTCATAGGGTCATGGAGCCTGGTGTGGGAGAGATTAGTTGCATAGTTTTGGATGATCTGCAGCTTGTGGAGGGAAAAGTTGGGAAGGCGGAGAAGCAGGGAGTTGGCGTAGTTGAGTCTAGATGTGATGAACGTGTGGATGAGAGTTTGGGCGGCCTGAGAGTTAGGCAGTGTTGTGGAGGTGGGCGAAGGAAACTTGGGTCATGGTACAGATGTGGGATAGAAAGGACAGTTGAGGAACCAAACAAGATGCCACGGTTCCGGTGAGGTGGAGTGTGCATCCTTGGATGGTGATGCTGTCAGCGCCTATGGTGTGGAGACACTGACGGGAGCCAATCAGGAGAGCCTCGATCTTGTTGAAGTTCAACTGTAGAAAGTTAACTCTCATCCAGGACTTGATGTCTGACAGACATTGTGTCAGGACTGCAGTGGTCCTGGAGTCGAGGGTGGAGGCAGAGAGGTAGAGTTGGGTGTCATCTGCATACATGTGGAAGTTGACCCCATGTCCGCGGATAATGTCACCAAGAGGGAGCATATAACATGTTGGCGAGGAGGGGACCGAGGACAGAGCTCTGAGGAAGGCCACACGAGACGGTACGGAAGCTGGAGGAGAACCCGTTTGAGCAGACAAAGTGGAGACAGTGTGAGAGGAGGATCTGAACCACTCAAGTTTAGAACCATGAAGGTTGAGGTGAGAGGAGGTGGGGGAGGACAGAGCGGTCGACAGTATCAAAGGCAGCAGAGAGGTCAGGACAAGGAGGCAGAGGGAGCCCTGGTTGCAGATGGATAAACTGCCATCTCTCCCTGAGGAAGGCTGTTTCTGCGCTGAGGGCAAAGAGACTGACGGGAGAGGAAGGAGACAGTTACATATTTCTGGACACAGATGGGAGGTTGTCAGAGAATTTTTAAGGCAACCCACGCCTTGGAGTGAAAGTCACCCTCTCCTCAGACACCCACCCCCCGCCCCTGGACCCAGAGTTGCCGGGGAGACCACCGGTGCCCTGTGAAGCCGGGCTGGGTCCGGGGGGGGGGGTTGGCACGGCAGGAGAGCGCGAGGCCCCGCGGGGGCTCCCAGCAGCGCACACAGGCGCCTCAGCCAGTGCGACTCCTGCGCTTTCTCGTCCCCACCTGTGCTGCTCGGCCTCCTCCCGCGTGCAGGCCATTCACCGGGCCCCGGCCCCGGCCCCGGCCCCGCGCTGGGCTGGGCTGCCCCCCCGCCGTCACCCCTGGTAACCACAGCCGCCGCCGCCGCGTCCCTCAACAATCTGACGAGCCGCGCCCACTGCGCGTGCGCCAACCACCGCCGGGGCGAGGCTGCCGAACTGCGCCTGCGCCAAGCTCTCCTCGCTCGCTCGCTCTCTCTCTCCCCCCCGCGCGCCGTTGCCGTCCAACCGCTTCGCCGCACGGAGCCGTTATAAGTACCGGATGAGGCCGGCGGGCTTCTCTTTTTTTCGCGTGCAGCTTAACCGTCACCTCAGATGTTAATCAGCATCTCCCACCACCCGGTGCCGGACGCTTCTCTCCCCGCCTCAGGCAGCGTTGTTAACCCTACAAGCCCCCCCCCCGAGTTGTTGTTGTTGTTGCCACCGCCCGAGCTGTCAGCGCGTGAACGTTCAAACCTGCCTGCCGGAGGGGGGGGCGGGGCTGGAGTGGTGTCGTCACTCCGTCTGCGCCGTCGTGATGCGCCGCGAAGGACGCCATCGCGGCGCATGCGTGGGCTCCGACCGGCCGCTGGGGCTACGTCACCGTGCGCTTTGCCGTACGGTGACGTAGCTGCAGCGGCGAGGACCACGCACGCGCCGCGGCCCAGCACCGCCCCGCCCCCTCCGCCGGCCGCGGCCAATCGGAGCGCTGGGAGTGCCCGGGGGGGTGGGCGTGGCTTCTGGGCGCGCTGTACGGCAAGGGAGAGGGAGAGACCGACATGGAGAGACAGAGTGAATGAGAGAGAGAGGGAGAGGGCACTGCACTGCACTGCCAGTGCTGCACGGGGGCTTTTTTCATGCAAAAGGACGGGGGCATCGCGCCCCCCCACCCCGGGCCCCCACCCCCCCCTTTTCTTCAATGCTTTCGGTATTTTATAACACTCCTTTTGTCTCGTGATCGTCCCCCGATGGCATTGTTTGGGCATTTATCGCGCACAGTCCAGTGTGGCACTGGACCGTGTGCGGGTCATTTTTTTTACCAAATCGTTTTGCATTGACAGTAAGTAGAGAGAGAGAGAGAGAGGGAGAGAGAGAGGGGAAGGGAGGGAGGGAGGGAGGGGGACTTGTTTTGAGAGAGGGGTTGGAGGAGGGGGAAGAGGGTGGGGGGGGGCAGGAGAACAATAGCGATGCCGGGGGGCAGGGGAGCCGGGTCCGCCTTCAGGCGCAGGTCAGCGAGCGTGGGGCCGGTCAGCCTGGAGAGGCGGGTCCTCAGAGAGGAGGATCAGGATGGGGATGGCGAGGGGGAATTCCGGGACGAGGGGGTCCCTTTCTACGTGAACCGAGGTGGGCTGCCCGTCGATGAAGCCACCTGGGAGAGGATGTGGAGGCACGTAGCCAAGATTCACCCTGAAGGAGAGACGATGGTGCAAAAGATTCGGGGGTTGCCCTACCTCCCCAAGGTGACTCCGCAGCCCACACCCCGCGATAGCTAACCCGGTCCGGGTCGTGCTTCTGTCTGCATTGGCACATCGGAGGCGGCGATCGGCAGAGCCACCGCTGCCCAAATAACTGGTGGTTTGGATCTGTTGTGGAGCGGCTGCGGGGCAGCGGGGCTGCGGGGGAGCGGCTGCGGGGCTGCGGGGCTGCGGGGCAGCGGGGCAGCGGCTGCGGGGCAGCGGCTGTCACGGAGCTCACACAGAGCTTCTTTGCTTGAATTTTAAGTTGGATGTTCACGGGTCGGATCACCGCCCACGAACGTGTTTTCCTTCAGTTTAGAAATGTCAGTGTTAATTCCCGTTCTGAACCTTCAGGGCTGAGGGTGAGTGTGTTGTGCCTCTGTTGGAGGTGTGTACCGTCTGTCCGGGGCCCTGTGGGCAGTGTGTCCGGGGCCCTGTGGGCAGTGTGTCCGGGGCCCTGTGGGCAGTGTGTCCGGGGCCCTGTGGGCAGTGTGTCCGGGGCCCTGTGGGCAGTGTGTCCGGGGCCCTGTGGGCAGTGTGTCCGGGGCCCTGTGGGCAGTGTGTCCGGGGCCCTGTGGGCAGTGTGTCCGGGGCCCTGTGGGCAGTGTGTCCGGGGCCCTGTGGACAGTCTCTGTTTCATCTCGAGGTCTGACCCCTTTTGAGCCGAGAGCGCTCCGCCAGTGACTGTGCACAGCTCCAGGGACAGTGGGAGGAGCGGACCTGCCCTGTGCCTCTGGTTTGTCTGTCGGTCCTCTCTCTCTCTCTCTCCCTTTTCAAAAGCTCCTCTTTGTCTTTCCTTTCGTTCTCCGCTCTCCGCTCCGCAGTGGTCCACAGTGGTTGACTTGTACTCCCGTACAGTGCGCGAACTCAACTCCAACGCTCCCAAATGCCAATTGTTGCCGATGTTTGTTGTTAAGGTTTCGACTCCTCTGTTCAGTACATTGGGCACTGATGGTCTCTGATCACTGTGAGAAGGGAAGTCTGAATCCCGGGACACGGGGCCACTGTCAACTTCGCCAACAAAGTCGTACAAAATAGACTTACACTGTTACTTTCCTAATATTGAATTTGAGTATCTGATTTCAGACAGTACTGGGCTTCAGAGTGACATTCCAGCAGTAATCCCACCAGAAGCCGAGGGAATAACAGGCTCTTTAGTCTGAGAAAAGCTTTGAAAGTGTTTTCGTGTCTGTGGTAAATGCCCAAGAATCAGACTACTGCTGCTCTTGTTATTGGGAATATGAATGATTAATGTGCTTCACTATTGCTATGTGCAACTCACTGCCGCGTTTCACCCACGAAACACATAGTCAATCCACTTTCCAGTATATCTTGTGAAGTGCTTTGGGACGTCTCAATAACGCCATCATAATAATTCTTGCATTTGATACGGCGCCTTATCACGTCTCAGACATCTCAAAGCACTTCACAGAATAGACTGTAAAGTAAATTGACTGTATATTTTGTGGGTGAAACACCCACAGATAAGGCGCTATTTCAAATGCAAGAATTATTATTATTATCTGCACAATGTGGCTCTTCAGAATCTTTTCACTTGTGTACTGTGGTAAGGTACCCTCACAGCAAACTGCATGTCTGTGTGCTCATAAAATTTCAAGTCTCTGACTGTGTCGTGGCTGCAGGTAATGTTTTTGAGCTGGGAGGAGAAATGGTTTGTAAATGCTCACTGGTTCAGGGCTCATTCTACACACAGCAATTTCCAATTGTCTGGAACAACAAAGCATATGTTTGTAAATTAAAGTGCTCAGGAACTCGGCCACCGAGTAGCTGACAAGGGAAATGCTGACACCGCTCTGGTGTAATTCTGTGTTGTTCCTGTGCTTTCAGATTCCAATACCATGTGTGCCTTCATTTCAGCCATCCACATCCATCGTTGACCGCCTGGAAGCCATACAGAGATACACCAGGGAATTGCAGTATCCTTCATGCCTGCCGCCATTCTTGACGGGTTCTTGATGCTCAGGGGACAGTGTCTCAGCAGCGCAATAATGTCAGCAGCCACGTGGTTGGCATGGATTTCTGTTGTCTCCGGCTCATTCCCAGCTCCCGCCAGTGATGCTGCGTGGCTCCTGGCTCTTGGCTCTTGCTTGGGGAAATTCTCTCTCCTGATGGCGCATATTCTCACTGGATCTACCATGTGGGATGGGAGGGTAGGCGTGGGGGCCAGGGGAGGGGGCGGCAGAGCCAGGGTGAGGGTGGCCTGGTTGGTGAGCCCAAGAGAAAAAATAACTGGTTTCCAGTCAAGGGAAGGTCTGAACCTGTTTTCTCTCTGCCATCCAAGCCTCTAAGATGCCCTTGTGGGGTTAAGAGCTCCCACCCTCCCTCTGTCCCAGCAGCTGTGCTGTCTGCTTCAGCCCCAGGCGCTGCCCTTTTGCTGGGCTGAGGGCTGCTGCTGGTGGGATCCTGGGAAACCAGCAGGATAGAATGTCACCTCTTCTCCTTCCTGCTGTCAACAACATCCGACTGTGTCCACTATCGACACGGCTTTCCTTCAAAACAAATACACTTCTTAACTGTCACCAGGTACAATCACACCGGGACACAGTTCTATGAGATTAAGAAGAATCGGCCTCTGACCGGGTGAGTAGCATTTGTCTGTTATGGCATAATCCAGACAGGAATTCTACTAATCCCACTCTCCAGGGATGTCACGGTGCAATTCCATGCAGGGGCGAAGGAAGGACATTGATACTGTGACCCCCTCCCCCACTTGGTGAGAACATTTTATGACTGTTAGACTCGGAGATGTTGGGTCCAGGACGGAGTTTAGGGGGAGTTTGGGAAGAGGATGTGAGTTTCAGTGGGGAGTTGTTGGGTATTGCCTGGAGTGTGGTGGGGGGCTGTTACTGTTGTGGGAGGAGCGACTACAAGTTGTGATGGGATGGGAAAGCAGAGTGAGAAAATATCAATGAACGTTCTTCTCCCTGTTGCAGTTTGATGGATCTGGCGCGGGAAATGATTCGGGAATCGCTGCCGATAAAATGCCTGGAAGCTGTGATCCTGGGAATGTATCCTTTTATTATCGGCTGTAAATCCCGTCCCTTGTTCAGGGCAGCGGAGAGAAATCCTACATTTCTTCCCTTTTCAAACACAAACACACAGCCGTGATTCCTGTCCTTGGGCAGAGGGGGAGAGGATTCCCCCACCCCACCACCCACCTTCCATCCCCGTAATGTGTGGGTGACGAGGGTCTGAGATCAGGATTGTCGCGTTCCCGAAGATGGCCTCTCAGAGGAACATAGGAACAGGAGGAGGCCATTCAGCCCTTGAGCCTGTTCTGCCATTCTATTAGATCATGGCTGATCTGTACCTCAACTGCAATTGGTCCAACACAGAGGTTGGAACAGTAAATCTGGCAATAAAACAAGTCAATAGTTAATCTCGTTCAGGACAACTCAAACCCTGGGCCCATGGCCGCTGGACCAGCTTAAACCTTTAAAATTCATGTTTCATTTCGGCAGCGTGAGCACTGGGGTAACTCCTGGAGTCTTAACAAATTAAAGCTGCATTGCTTGCCATAGAAAGCACTGTCTGGTAAGCTTTTCCGCTGCTTGTCCATCTAGGACCACACTACCCTAATAGGGCTTTGGCTTGCTGGGGTAACAGGAGCCGGGGGGGACAGGATCGCCTGTTGCCAGTGACTGGTCAGCCCTTCCACTTCCTGCTGATGGGCTGTGCTGTCAGCAGCAGTGAGTGCCCTGGAATACTGCGGAGCCTCCTGGCTCAGGAACCGGACGAGACCGACACAGAGGGCTGACTCCATTCTGACATTCTTTTGCCAAACCTGTCACCTTGGAGCCAGTTCAACTCAGAGTAGACCCAATTCACTTCTCGTCTGCCCCCTCTTCCCACCCTCTGGAGGATACGGAGGGGCTGACTGACTGGATAGACCCGGAGCTTTGGGCTGGTGTATATTTTCCTATATTCGGGATCAGATACCTCACCAACAATATGCCTGGAGTAGAGAGATTTCCCATCAGCTTCAAAACCCAGTTCTCAGGGAGCTATTTCCGGCACATTGTGCTGGGGATCCACTGCGCTGGCCGCTTTGGGACGCTGGGCATGAGCCGGCGCGAGGACCTGATGTTCAAAGCTCCGGGCTTCAGGACTTTAATGGACCTGGTCTCCGAGTATGAGGCCTCCTACAGCAAGTACTGGCACTCGCTGAAGAAGGTGAAGATCGGGCAGTACGTCTCGCACGACCCTCACAGTGTGGAGCAGATTGAATGGAAGCACTCGGTGCTGGACGTGGAGAGGCTGAGCCGCGAGGAGCTGCGGAGGGAGCTGGAGCGACACACGCGTGACATGCGGCTGAAGGTGAGAAGCGTGCGGGTGGCGTGTGGGGTATCTACATTGGTTCACACACCTGGGGGCGGTTAGACTGTTTGTGTGCTGTCAGTCTGAATCACTTTCCCCAGAAAAAAGACAATTCGTTTAATGTTCTCATAGAATCACTGTTCGTTACAGCACAACAACATGTATTTACACAGAGCCCCTCACGCAGAGTAGCGTCGCAGAGCGCTTGATTAGCAGAGCATGACGCCGAGCCAGGGGGAAGGGAAGGTGTACTGGCTGGAAACTTGTGCACAAAACGTCTGCTGTGTTTCTCTACAAAAACAGTCACTACACCTCAGTAATTTCTGTGAGACACTTGGAGACATTTCCGTGTGGTATATATATTTTTTAAATTCCTGTCACGTTTTCCCTTGGTACCAGGTTGTCAAGGGAAGCAGCGGCTCCTCGTCCCCACCCCGCGAGAGGAAGAGGGACGTGTCCTCACCTCACCGGGGCCAGGCCAGCCCACACCGCCGTAACAGCCGGAGCGACAGACGGTGAGGTCCTCAGCACTCACACCATTCCAGTCACAGGAAAAGGGAAGTCCATCAATACTTGGCTCGTAAGGAAGGGCATAAGTCGGTGAAGAAAAGCAGCCAGTGGTATTGAGTTACACATCAGCCATGATCTCAGCCACGGCCGAGGCCTGTTCCTATGTTCCTTATATCTCCACAAAAAGCAGATTACTGAGAGCACCTGCCCAAGTGTATTATAATCATCATGGCAATCCTAGCCACGTACAGTACAGCCTGTCTATCTATATACAGTGATAGACACTGGGAGAGGCTGTGTGTATACCGGAGAGACTGTGTATATACAGGAGAGGCTGTGTGTATACAGTAGGAGACACTGGAGAAGGCTGGGTGTATACAGTGAGAGACACTGGGAGAGACTGTGTGTATACAGTGAGAGACACTGGGAGAGGCTGTGTCAATACAATGCCGAGTGTTACTGTTCTCAGAATGATTCATAGATTCATAGAATGTTACGGCACAGAAGGAGGCCATTCGGCTCATCGAGTCTGTGCGGCTCTTTGACAGAGCGTCACTTTCACTAACCCCAATCACCAGCTTTCTCCCCATAACCCTGCAAACCCGTCTTCCCCAGATACCTGTCCAGTTCTCTCTTAAAAGCTGTTATCGAATCGGACTTCACTGCCCTTTCAGGCAGATCATTCCAAATTCCAACAACTCGCTGAGTGAAAACATTTCTTCTAACCTCCCCTCTGCTTCTTTTGGTAGATATCTTAAGACTGTGACCACGGGTCACAGACACACCTACCAGCGGAAACAGCTTTTCCCTATCTCGCCTGTCGAAACCTTTCATGATCTTGAAGACCTCTATCAGGTCCCCGCGTAACCTTCTCTGCTCTAATGGGAAAAGTCCTAACTTCTCCAGCCTGTCCTCATAGCTAAGGTTCCCCATTCCTGGTATCATTCTCGTGAATCTCCTCTGCACCCTTTCCAGTGCCTTAATGTCCTTCCTGAGGTAAGGTGCCCAGAACTGGACGCAGTACTCCAGCTGAGGCCTAACCAGTGTTTTGTATAGATTAACCATAACCTCCCTACTCTTATACTCTATGCCCCTACTAATAAAGCTCAGTACACCAAATGCCTTTTTTACTGCCTTATCTACCTGCCCCGCTACCTTTAATGATTCGCTTACTTGAACACCCAGATCTCTCTGTACGTTCACCCCCTTAAGATTGAGCTACCAAGTCTATATTGCCTCCTATCATTTTTCCTACCTAAGTGTATCACCTCACACTTATCCACATTGAAATCCATCTGCCACATGTCAGCCCATTCCACCATTCTGTGTATGTCTGCTTGCAGTTGGTTACAGTCATCTTCACTATTTACTACCCCACCTAACTTTGTATCATCTGCAAACTTGGAAATAGTGCTCTCTGTGCCCAAGTCCAGATCATTAATATATATTAGAAAGAGCAGTGGTCCCAATACTGATCCCTGGGGGGCACCGCTGCACACCTCCTTCCATTTCGAGAAACACCCATTAACCACCACCCTCTGCTTTCTGTCACTCAGTCAGTTCCTAATCCAAACTGCCACTGTCCCCTGACTACTGTGGGCCTCTAATTTTTTTATTATCTCTTAAGCAGTACTGTGTCAAAAGCCTTTTTGAAATCCATGTAAATAACGTCCACCGCATTTCCCTCATCAACCCTCGCAGTCACCTCTTCAAAAAATTCTATTAGATTTGTTAGGCAAGATTTGCCTTTAACAAATCCATGTTGGCTGTCTCTAATTACCTCATGTTCCTCTAAGTAGAGATTTATTCTGTCCCGGATTATGGTCTCCAGTAGTTTTCCTATTACCGAAGTTAGGCTGACTGGCCTGTAATTTCCGGGCTTGTCTTTCTGCCCCTTTTTGTAGAGGGGGTAACATTAGCCACTCTCCAGTCTCTTGGCACCACTCCTGTGTCCAATGACGATTGAAATATAATGGCCAAAGCCTCCGCTATTTGAACCCGTATCTCCCACAGCAACCTTGGGTGAAACCCATCTGGTCCTGGTGACTTATCAATTTTGAGCCCAGTCAATCTTTTCAGAACTTCCTCTCTGTCTATAGTAATCTGATCTATTTCCTGCGGCATTTGGGGCATCCATTTCCGTTGTGAAGACAGATGCAAAGTACTCGTTCAGTACATCAGCCTTAGTACTCTGCCTCAACAACAAGATTGCCGTCATTGTCTTTGATTGGCCCCACCCTACCTTTAACTAACCTTTTTTCCTTTATGAGCTTGTAAAATATTTTATGATTCCCCTTTATGTTACCCACTAACCTCTTCTCATGTGATCTTTTAACCTGATGATGATTTTTCTTTTTTCCAGACCCTCAGCAGAAAAGAAGAGTGCCGAGCAAAAAACCCTGAATGACGTGGGCTATCAGATCCGTGTGTAAGCGGCAGCTCCACTTCAGTGTGTGAGTGAGACTGTGTCTCCCATCTTCACCACACCCTTCACTCGCTTGGTTGGAGGCCTAGAAGACCGAGTGGGATGTGGAGTAAGAATGAGGGAGCAAGTATGGTATCCAGTCAGCAGTATTAAATCATTGTGACTTCTGTTCTCTTTGGATAGATGAGATGTCTCCAGTACGTATCCGTGGAGTCCTGTATAAGCTGTGTAACTGAAGAGCAGTCACTATTTAGAGGTACAGTAGTGTAGTTTGAATTAAGAGCGAAAGGTTGAAATCCCGCTTGCCCTTCCATGAACCTTTATCCATTTATTTAATTTGTAAAGAAATCCCGTTTCTGGGCGAGTGGCTGAGAATTCAGTTAGGGCAGAGATTGCAGACTTCAACAAACGGCAGCTGTGCCTTACTCTCAGAACTGCTACACCCCTGTCCAGCAGCATAGTGTTTAGAGCACTCGCCTCGCAAACGATTCAACTGGATTCAATTCCCAGGCAGAGCGAAAGCTTAGGCAAGTTTAGGAACCCGGTTGTTAGTCACTTTCCAAGGGTAATCTTTTTTTAAAGTCAATCCATGACTGTTTGTGGGACACTGCTGTGCGCAATTCGCTGCTGTGTTTCGCCCACAAAATTCACTTTACAGTATATCCTGTGAAGCGCTTTGAGACGTCTCGAAGATGTGATAAGGCGCTATATCAAATGCAAGGATTATTATTATTATATTACTGAGAAGATGATTCCTGGTTTTGGGAGATGCCCATAACACATGATAAAGGAGTTGTGTGTTTATTATTATAGTCCACCGTGGCTCCCACTGCAGTCTAACTCAGAGCTGCTCTCTGTCTCCGCTCTAGGGGCTACTTCTCGCTGCTCGTGTGAGGCCGCGGGTCACAGTTGAGGTCAGCTGCTGCACAGGATTTCCTGGGGTCTGATTGCTGTCTGCGAGTGCAGGGAGTTAACTATTGGGGTTTGTTCAGGGGCACTCTGTAACTGATCGAGTCAGACCAGTGACCCTGAATACACTCCGAGAGGTGCTGTCAGAGCTCAACAATGGCAGTGAAGTGGGACCTGGAGGATGGTGCCCAGTGTTCCTGAGCGGGGATTGAGCACTGCTGTTATTCAGAGATCAGGGGAGCCATTACATCACAACTCATTTCAATGGCGTTCCTTAAATAAGGAGAGCAACGTTTCTAGGAATACCACAATTTGGTCCCAATGTTTGTGGTTTTACAGGGTATTAGCAATGTAACGCGCTGACAGAGCAGTAGCAATGTAACACGTTGGTGGGGGGTAGAAGTTGTGCCCTGCTCTGAGAGCGTCTCTATACAGGCCCAAGGTGTTTGCTGGGTGCCAGAGTGACTTACCACCTAACGTTGGAGAGGGGTTTAATTTATTTTTAATATTTATTCTGAAGATACAGTATTACTTTAGAGCTTGTTTTGAAGTTCTTTCCCAGGCCAACATGTTTTTCCTCATGGTCATAAATCAATGGTGGCCAACCTGTGGCCCACAGGGTTGTCAGGAAGCAGCCCCCGAACATTTGCATCAGTCAGTCAGTTCGGTCGGTAGTGTGTTTACAGCTTTTTTTCTTGATTGAAATTTTTTTGATTTATAACAAATAAAGAAATATTCAATCAAGAAAATTAATTGTGTTGGCTACCACGGCTCCAGATAATTCCCACAGGTTTCTCTCCTCTTTGGCCCAATAATAAGAGCTATAATTACACAGCTGGTGAGGGGGAAGGGCTGTGGTTAGCTCTGATGTGCCCCCCCCCTCCCCCCAACTCTAACCTCACCCTGTGGGAGTAGTGTGACTTGTCGGGAGAGACTTGGTGGGGGGGCGGGGGTCAGTGACCAGTGGCTGGTTAGCTGTCAGTTCAGCATTGTCAAACCTAAACAGGGATTAATGCCAGTCTTTGTTTTACTTTAAAGAAAGCATGATTTTATTGGGTACAAAGTGGAGCTGGGAGAATGTTGTGGAAAAGGCAGATTGATTGCAGGCACCAGGTCAGCCATTGATCAGGATGGTAGAACGTTAGGATATGGGCTGCTGCGCTGCTCATTACTGTACACCAGTGTGCTGGTATCCCACCTCACCTTACCCCACCTCAACACCAACCACTCTACGGCGAGGAGGTGGGGGCACCTCTGGGTGAATTGTTGCTTGTGGTAGGAGCTGAGAAGATTGAGTCGGAGATGACAGGCATAATTTACAATGAGTTTAAAATAAGTAATTGAACTTTTTTAAAAAAAAATTGTGTCCAATTAAATTTGTATATCATCTTGGCTCAGTCAGTGACACTCGACTCCGAGTCAGAAGGTTGTGGGGTCAATAAACTGATGCCTCTTTTTTTTCATTGCAATTAGTATTAAGATGGATTAAAAAATGAACAAACTCCTGAAAGGATTTGCGGTGACAATGTTTTGCCTGATAAGAGTAGCGAGTGTGTGGAATAGACTCCCAGCCAGCATACTAACCTCCCTACCCCCATCGCATCAGTCCTCGCAGGGCTCCACTGGCTCTCCATCACCGAACAGATCGATTTCTAGGTCCTCTCACTCATTTTCAAATCCCTTCATGCCCTGGCACCTTCCTACCTCTCCAACCGGCTTAACCCCCCAACCACAACCCGCTGCCTCCACTCAACGGGCTCCGGCTCCTGCATGTTCTTCGTGCCCTCCATTCCACCATCAGTGGCTGCGCCTTCAGCCATTACGCCCCAAAACCCTGGAACACTCTTCCTCTATCCCTACACCTTGCTCCTTTCTTCCCCATCTACAGGTTGTGCCTGAAGACCTACCTATTCGACCGTGCCTAAAGTCATCTCCCTCTCCCCCCTGGATCAGCATCTTGCTCCTCCATTGTCAATCACTCTGGGATGCAACCCTCCATGAGGGGCGAGATATAAATGCAAGTTGTTGTTGTAACTTAAACTATTGCTGTTGTGCTCATCAACTCTTCAGGAAAAGAGCCAGTGAGTATGTGGTTAGGAATGGCACTGAGCGCTGCAAGGAGAGATTGGGGCATGTGTTGAGATGTAAAGGACAATGTCTAGTTAACATGACACAATGTACATTTACACAGCGCCTTTTACTTTGGCGGGATGTTCCAAGGTGCTGGACAGTCCTGGCTTGACACTTGAGCTGTGGGTGGGAGCGGACGGGAGGGGAGAGAAAAGATGGCTAAAGGTGTGATCGAAGAGGTAGCTAGGTGTTGGGAGGGATGTTGAGAGAGGTGAGGGAGGGGTTGGGTCAGGGAATTCCACAGAACGGAGGCAGAATGGCTGAAAGCCAATTGCAGATCTTGGGACGAGGAGGGTAGGGAACATGAGGCAGGCCAGTGCGGGCTGAGTAAAATACAGAGATTTGCTCTGCACTGAGCCGAGAAGGTCAAAAAGCTGATGACCTCTTGTCTCATTATAAACAGCTGTTGGGTCCCTAATAGGTGGGGATAAGTTCCATCAGGGTGTACCAGTGGGTGGAGAGAGGAAGTAAAGTTGTTTATGGTGGAGTGAGGTCAGTTTATATGTTGAGATGGAGCTCCCTGTCACCGCTTCTTGCTGGTTCACTCAGCCCCGGGGGAAGACGTGAATCTCAGTGCATGTTTTTCTCCCCCCCCCCCCCCCCCCCCCCATCCACCCAGCCTGCTTGGCTGTTTGGATGAGGTACGAGGGTGTGAATTAGAGATTAGAAATTGACATTTCCGTCCACAGTCACAGTGAGAAGGTGATGGCAGTGTTATAAGACACTGTGTTTTATAGATCTCCTCTTCCCCACCCTCCTCTCTTACCCATTCTTTCTTCCCTTTCTCTCTCCCTCTCTCCCCTCCCCATTCTTTCTTCCCCTTCTCTCTCCCTCCCCTCTCTCCCCTCCCCCATTGTGTAATGGTGCTGGGCCAAAGGCCACTTTATCTGTAGTCATGTATTTGAGTAGAAAACATTGTATTTCCTCAGCCTGGAAAGCTCAGGACTTGCCTGACCTGATCTCAGGATGTGGGGAAACCTTGGGCAAGGGCAGCTTTTATTTTTCATGGGATTTCTCTGCTCTACCTACTCCCCCATCCCCACCACATGTCACACAGTCCTGGGTAGGGTGTGTATGAGGTTTTGTGTGTCGGTGTGTGTGAGGGGTGGGTGTGTGTGAGGGTTGTGGCTTCCCACTGGAGACGTGTGAGCGATATGTATGCATGTGTAGGTGGAGGAAATATATGAGGTATGGGTGAGAGGGATGGCCTGAGCAGATAGGTTGTTGCCTCTCTGAGCACTGTGTGTGTGTGTGTGTGTGAGAGGGGGGGGGCCGACGGAGTGGGGTCACTGAGCTGCCGGCTGGTGTCAGCATGCGCAGGGCTGTGTGCATAGAGTTATGAACAACAATAACAAATTACACTTGTATAGCTCTCTTCATGTCGGAAAGACGTCCCGGAGTGCTGGACAATCCAGGGTTTTGGACCTGAGCTGGGAGTTGGGGTCAGAAGGGGAGTAGAGTGGGGGGGAGGGTGAGGGTGGAGGTGGGAGGGTGGCCAAAGGCACAGTCGAAGAGGAAAGTCTTCAGACGGGACTTGAAGGAGGCAAGAGAGGGGGGCGAGGCAGAGGGAATGTGGGATGGAGTTCCAGAGTGTGGGGGCAGAGAGGCTGAAGGCTTGATTGCTAATGGTGGGGCGGGAAGTACGGGGCCCCAAAGCAGGCCAGTGCCCCCCAAACAGAGGGAGCGGGCAGACTGATATGGAGTTATGAGTTCGGAGAGATAGGTGTGAGCAAGACCGAAGTGGGTCTTGAAGATGAGAACAAGGGTTTTGTACTTGATTCTCTGAGGAATGGGGAGCCAGTGAAGCAGGGCAAAAATGGGGGTGATAAGTTCCCGGAGCCTGGTGTGGGAGAGGACATGAGCTGCAGAGTTCTGAATAATCTGTAGCTTGTGGAGGGAAGAGTTGGGAAGTCCAGTGAGCAGGCAGTTGGCATAGCCAAGCCAGGACATAATGAAAGCGTGGATCAAGGTCTCGGCGGCCTTTGGTGAGAGGCAGAACGCCACAGTGGCAGAGGTGGGCTATGTTGCAGAGGTGGGGAAATGCGAAATGGGTCACGGTACGATTGTGGGATTTGAACTGAGGGTCGAAAAGGACAGAGATTTTGGATTGGCTCAGTCAGGTGAAAAGTGCAGCTGTATAATGATAGTGTCAGTGGTTGAGGTGAGGAGGCGCTGCCTGGAGCCAAGCAGGAGGGCCTCTGGTCTTACCAACATTGAGCTGGAGGAAGTTGGCTCTCATATAGGACTTGATGTCAGACAGACAATTTTCCAGGACATCAACTGTCCTAGAGTCGAGGGTGGGGTTGGCAAGATAGAGTTGTTTGTCATCCGCATACATGTGGAAATTGACCCTATGCCTGTGGATGACATCACTGAGGGGGAACATGTATAGATTGAAGCGGAGGGGTCTGTGGACAAAGCCCTGAGGGACACCACACGTGACAGTGCGGGGCTAGAGGAGAAGCCATTGGTGGCCACAAAGTGGGTATGGTAGGATTGGAAACAGTATTGGCTCAGTGTTGGGGTGAGAATGTGCAGGTGCCTGGACATTCCTGGCCGCCCTGTTTAATGCTGCTCAGCTTCTCTTTTCAACACCGTGAGGGCTGCACTGCCAGACTGTCCACAGCCTCTCTGATCAGTGTCAGTCACTGCCCTCTGTCCACTGCTCTTGTCAGTGTGGCCAGCCTTGGCTGTGTGGGCCACTGCTCTGTCAGTGTGGCCAGCCTTGGCTGTGTGGGCCACTGCTCTGTCAGTGTGGCCAGCCTTGGCTGTGTGGGCCACTGCTCTGTCAGTGTGGCCAGCCTTGGCTGTGTGGGCCACTGCTCTGTCAGTGTGGCCAGCCTTGGCTGTGTGGGCCACTGCTCTGTCAGTGTGGCCAGCCTTGGCTGTGTGGGCCACTGCTCTGTCAGTGTGGCCAGCCTTGGCTGTGTGGGCCACTGCTCTGTCAGTGTGGCCGCTTGGCTGTGTGGGCCACTGCTCTGTCAGTGTGGCCAGCCTTGGCTGTGTGGGCCACTGCTCTGTCAGTGTGGCCAGCCTTGGCTGTGTGGGCCACTGCTCTGTCAGTGTGGCCAGCCTTGGCTGTGTGGGCCACTGCTCTGTCAGTGTGGCCAGCCTTGGCTGTGTGGGCCACTGCTCTGTCAGTGTGGCCAGCCTTGGCTGTGTGGGCCACTGCTCTGTCAGTGTGGCCAGCCTTGGCTGTATATCCCCTGCCTTACATGATCTGTGCTGTCAGGTCTGTGTCCGCATACCTCCCCCGTTCCTTATTCCCTTTTTGTCGTGTGCTGTTTAAGCAATCTGTTTCTGGTTTTCAGAAGTTTTTAAGCCCCTGACTGTGCCCCTGCTCCCTAGCGAGGGTCTGGCTCCCTGGGCTCAGGCTGGGACCCTGTGAGCTGGGCCGAGTGTCTTTGAAAACCACTGATTTTTCTATATATTAAATGCTGTAAATTGCTTTTTGATTAATGGTTTGTATTTCTATTTTGTATAATTTAGGTTGTGCCCAATAAATACATCAACTGAAAGCAGGGTGTGTGTGAGCGCTTCAGCAACTCTCTCAGGCCCGCTTTGTATTAGAGCCGGGACTATCTCCCACAGCTATAAGCCCGGCAACAATTCTGTAACTAAAAAATACAGTATATTAATTCCTGACAATTGATCATATTTTTCTGATGTCCAAGTTGTATAAATGATAGCACAGAAAGGAGGCCATTCGGCCCATGGTGTCTGTGCTGGGGCTCGCTCCCCCACTGGAGCTCTCTACTCTAACCCCATTCCCTGCTCTCTCTCTCTCTCCCCATGGTGTCTGTGTTGGGGCTCGCTCCCCCACTGGAGCTCTCTATTCTAACCCCATTCCCTGCTCTCTCTCTCTCTCCCCATGGTGTCTGTGCTGGGGCTCGCTCCCCCACTGGGGCTCTCTACTCTAACCCCATTCCCTGCTCTCTCTCTCTCTCCCCATGGTGTCTGTGCTGGGGCTCGCTCCCCCACTGGAGCTCTCTACTCTAACCCCATTCCCTGCTCTCTCTCTCTCTCCCCATGGTGTCTGTGTTGGGGCTCGCTCCCCCACTGGAGCTCTCTATTCTAACCCCATTCCCTGCTCTCTCTCTCTCTCCCCATGGTGTCTGTGCTGGGGCTCGCTCCCCCACTGGAGCTCTCTATTCTAACCCCATTCCCTGCTCTCTCCCAATGGAGCTCTTTAACAAAGAACTGACTTAATTTTTTAGATGGATTTCGGAGTGGGAAGTCAGCCAGGAGTGGTGGGAGGTGGCTTCCCCACACCCAGCTCACTACTGCAATTTGAGTGGTTACAATCAAGGATTTGGCACTTAGAGAATCTTCCAGAATTTAAACGTTTCCCGTTTATCTGAAGTGTCGAGTCCATAAAGATGTTTTGTGGGAAATGCCTCAAACACAGTCTCAGCCTCTGGGTCAGAATCTGACAGACCGCAGCCTCAGAGCAGAGAGAGCAACACACAAACACACCCCGGAACACGTCAATAACGGGGAATCATACTGTCAGAGACCTGACCAATAGATGGCGTTTATGTTGGAGTGTCTTGGTCAACTCGGTGCCAAGTTAGTGTGACGCAGCCTTATCCAAGTTTATCGTGGTTCAGAGTTCAGTGCAGATGACATGACTGTGCATTGCACCATGGAGCTCTGGAGGTGTCTACCCGGGGCAGGCTTGGCCGTCTCGGGGCTGCTGCTCCTGCTGTTGTGCCTCTTTCTAATCTATCTCTCTTATATTCACTACGTCCACCTAAAGTTTGACCACATCCCTGGACCTCCCCGGGACAGGTAAGGTTACCTGACATTGGGGAACTAGGAGGCGCAGGCCGTCACGTCCTTGAGCCTAAACTGGAGAGAGAGAGACAGGTTAGATAATCGGCCTGAGAAATGCAAACATAGGAATGAGCGACAGCCATTCAGCCCCTCGATCCATTCTATTAGATCACGGCTGATTTGTACCTCAATTCCATTACCTGCCTTTTCTCCTTATCCCTTGATATCCTGACCCAACAAATATTTATCAATCACCGTCTTAAAAATTGTAACTGACCCATTAACCACAACCTTTTTGGGGGAGGGAGTTCCAGATTTCCACAAACTTTTGTGTGAAAAAATGCTTCTGGATTTCACTCCTAAAATGGTCTGGCTCTTATCTTAAGATAATGCTCTTTATACTGGATTCCCCACCAGAGAATAGTTTCTCTGTATCTACCCGAGCCCAGTCCCTTTTCATTTTAAACAGCCGAATCAGATTAGCCCTCGGAATACAAACCTAGTTTATGCCTCATCATTTAATCCTTTCAGCCTTTATATCATGTGGAGTCCTGTAGCTCAGTGGTTAGAGCACTCGCTTTGCAAGTGAGAGACCTGAGTTCAATCCCCGGGGGGTCCGGGCCAAACCTCGGGCAAGTTTCCTTACTCCACACAGAGCCTAATAATAATCCTCCAAAACCAAAACAATAATAAATTGGTCATTTTCAATCTACGACTGTTTGTGGGACATTGCTGTGCGCAATTGGCTGCCGCGTTCGCCCACAAATATACGGTCAATTCACTTTACAGTCTATTCTATGAAGCGCTTTGGGACGTCTAGAAGACGTGAAAAGCGCTATATCAAATGCAAGGATTATTATTATTATGATGAATGTGTGTTCTGCCCCCTCCAAGTCAGACATCAGGTAAGTGGGAGTCAAAGGGCATCAACAAACAGACGTTGCCCTGTGTGAGGGGCGCTATATAAATGCAAGTTGTTGACTGAGGAAATTACATATTTATAGAACCTTTCATGTCAGGAGGATGGCCCAAGGCACTGGACAGTCAGAAGTCCACACTCAAGCTGGTGTTTGGTATCAGGAGGGGTGGAGCGTAAGTAGGAGGGTGACCGAAGGCACGGTCAAAGAGGAGTCTTGAGACAGGTCTTGAAGGAGGCAAGGGAGAGGCGAGACAGAGGGACTGTGGGATGGAGTTCTAGAGGGTGGAGGCAGAGAGGCTGAAGGCCTGCCCGCCAATGGTGGGGAACATGAAACAGGCTGGAACCCACCGAGCGAAGGAAGTGGACAGTTTGGTAGGGGGTTAGGTGGTCACAAAGGTAGGGAGGAGCAAGGCCCTGGAGGGCTTTGAAGGTTGTGTCCTTGAGCAAAATTAAATGGAGAGAGAGGGTGGGGTCTGACCAAGGCCCTGTACAATGAGGCAACATTTCCTCGCTTTTGGATTCTCATACTTGCCCACGTGGTCTGTCCCTGATGATAGAGGGGCTAAAGCTGGGGAAGGAAGCTTTGTGGCTGAAGCTGCTCATGCATTCAGTGAAACACAAAGAGCTGCTCAACTGCTTTGCACTGGAACAGTTTACCAGATAAAGTCTATTCAGACTTGGCCACATCCATCAGCCTCTGGGAGTGCAGGACTGCTGACGTGGGACTCACTGGGACTCTGCCCTGAGTGAGGTGGGGCTAAATAAATGCAAATTGTTGACTGAGAAATATGATATCTAGTGAGCTGTGCCACCTCTCGCCCCACACAAACATGTCCTGTCACTTCTAACTAGAAAATATGGCTGTTGATGTGCACCAGATTGGGTTCCATCCCTTTCTACCCTCTCACTGCTGACACTGTTTGGGCTTCCACACTGAGTGTGGCCCTGAGGGGCAGGACAACTCTGACACCGCTATCCAGAACCTGCCAGGGGCAGAAAGCAACATCATACAGGACATGCATCTGCCATTAAATCCTGGTTCTATCTGACCCCTGGCACTGATCTATCTCAAGCATGTTCACAGCAACTCGCTGTCACCTGGAATGACTGGGCATTTGTCATCAGACAATTTACACAATAACAGACCTGAGGTGAACGAGTAATTAATGTGGTGGATTGTCAGCCAGGTCAACTGCGCACCCCGCTCACACTCGCACCCCGCTCACACTCGCACCCCGCTCACCTCGCACCCCGCTCACACTCGCACCCCGCTCACACTCCACCCCGCTCACACTCGCACCCCGCTCACACTCGCACCCCGCTCACACTCGCACCCCGCTCACACTCGCACCCCGCTCACACTCGCACCCCGCTCACACTCGCACCCGCTCACACTCGCCCGCTCACACTCGCACCCCGCTCACACTCGCACCCCGCTCACACTCGCACCCCGCTCACACTCGCACCCCGCTCACACTCGCACCCCGCTCACACTCGCACCCCGCTCACACTCGCACCCCGCTCACACTCGCACCCCGCTCACACTCACACCCCGCTCACACTCACACCCCGCTCACACTCGCACCCCGCTCACACTCGCACCCCGCTCACACTCGCACCCCGCTCACACTCAGACCCCGCTCACACTCACACCCCGCTCACACTCACACCCCGCTCACACTCACACTCACACCACGCCACCCACTCACACTCACACCGTGCCAGCCCGCTCACACTCACACTCACACCGCGCCACCCCGCTCACACTCACACCGCGCTCACACTCACACCCCGCTCTCACTCACACTCACACCGCGCCACCCGCTCACACTCACACCGTGCCACCCACTCACACCGTGCCACCCCGCTCACACTCACACCCCGCTCTCACTCACACTCACACCGTGCCACCCCGCTCACACTCACACCGTGCCAGCCCCACTCACACCGCGCCCGCCCCACCGCCACCTGCCTACCCCGACCCACCTGCCACATCCCAGCTCCGCCCCCACCTGCCTTCCCCACCGCCCCCTTTACTTACCTGTGGCTGAAGGAAGGATCCATGACTCTGCGCTGCATGTACCAGTGAGTGTGGTCTGTGTCGGTCACCAGCCCATTACCCAGGAACCTGAGAGCAACAGCGGGTTAGCCACAGGCTGACACCCCCCCCCCCCCCACTGGGACACTGCCCCCCTCACCCCCCTCACTGGGACACTGCCCCCCCCTCACTGGGACACTGCCCCCCCCCACCCCCCCCTCACTGGGACACTGCCCCCCCACCCCCCCCCTCACTGGGACACTGCCCCCCCCCTCACTGGGACACTGCCCCCCCCCCACCCCCCCCCTCACTGGACACTGCCCCCCCCCCACCCCCCCCCTCACTGGGACACTGCCCCCCCCCACCCCCCTCACTGTGACACTGCCCCCCCCACCCCCCCCCTCACTGGGACACTGCCCCCCCCCACCCCCCTCACTGTGACACTGCTCCCCCACCCCCTCACTGGGACACTGCCCCCCCACCCCCCTCACTGGGACACTGCCCCCCCCCCCTCACTGGGACACTGCCCCCCCACCCCCCTCACTGGGACACTGCCCCCCCCACCCCCCTCACTGTGACACTGCTCCCCACCCCCCCCCTCACTGGGACACTGCCCCCCCCACCCCCCCCTCACTGGGACACTGCCCCCCCCCCCTCACTGGGACACTGCCCCCCCCCCCCTCACTGGGACACTGCCCCCCCCCCCTCACTGGGACACTGCCCCCCCCCCCTCACTGGGACACTGCCCCCCCCACCCCCCCCCTCACTGTGACACTGCCCCCCCACCCCCCTCACTGTGACACTGCTCCCCCCCCCCCTCACTGTGACACTGCCCCCCCCCTCACTGGGACACTGCCCCCCCCCCCCCCTCACTGGGACACTGCCCCCCACCCCCCCCTCACTGGGACACTGCCCCCCCACCCCCCTCACTGGGACACTGCTCCCCCACCCCCCCTCACTGTGACACTGCCCCCCCACCCCCCCTCACTGGGACACTGCCCCCCCACCCCCCCCCTCACTGGGACACTGCCCCCCCACCCCCCCTCACTGGGACACTGCCCCCCCACCCCCCCTCACTGGGACACTGCCCCCCCTCACTGGGACACTGCCCCCCCTCACTGACACTGCCCCCCCCCTCACTGGGACACTGCCCCCCCCTCACTGGGACACTGCCCTCCCCTCACTGGGGGCAGTGTCACAGTGAGGGGGGGCAGTATCACAGTGAGGGGGGGCAGTGTCACAGTGGGGGGGGGGAGGGTCAGTGTCACAGTGGGGGGTGGGGGAGGGTCAGTATCACAGTGGGGGTGGGGGAGGGTCAGTATCACAGTGGGGGTGGGGGAGGGTCAGTGTCACAGTGGGGGGTGGGGGAGGGTCAGTGTCACAGTGGGGGCTGGGGGAGGGTCAGTATCACAGTGGGGGGGTGGGGGGGGGTCAGTATCACAGTGGGGGGTGGGGGGGTGTCAGTGTCACAGTGGGGGGGAGGGTCAGTGTCACAGTGGGGGTGGGGGAGGGTCAGTATCACAGTGGGGGGTGGGGAGGGTCAGTGTCACAGTGGGGGGGAGGGTCAGTATCACAGTGGGGGGTGGGGGAGGGTCAGTATCACAGTGGGGGGGGGGGAGGGTCAGTGTCACAGGGGGGTGGGGGAGGGTCAGTATCACAGTGGGGGGTGGGGGAGGGTCAGTGTCACAGTGGGGGGAGGGTCAGTGTCACAGTGGGGGTGGGGGAGGTCAGTGTCACAGTGGGGGGAGGGTCAGTGTCACAGTGGGGGGTGGGGAGGGTCAGTATCACAGTGGGGGGTGGGGGAGGGTCAGTGTCACAGTGGGGGGGAGGGTCAGTATCACAGTGGGGGGGTGGGGGAGGGTCAGTATCACAGTGGGGGGTGGGGGAGGGTCAGTGTCACAGTGGGGGGTGGGGAGGGTCAGTATCACAGTGGGGGGTGGGGGAGGGTCAGTGTCACAGTGGGGGGTGGGGGAGGGTCAGTGTCACAGTGGGGGTGGGGGAGGGTCAGTGTCACAGTGGGGGTGGGGGGAGGGTCAGTGTCACAGTGGGGTGGGGGGGGGTCAGTGTCACAGTGGGGGGTGGGGGGGTCAGTGTCACAGTGGGGGGTGGGGGAGGGTCAGTATCACAGTGGGGGGGTGGGGGAGGGTCAGTGTCACAGTGGGGGTGGGGGAGGGTCAGTATCACAGTGGGGGGTGGGGGGGTCAGTGTCACAGTGGGGGTGGGGGGGGTCAGTGTCACAGTGGGGGGTGGGGGAGGGTCAGTGTCACAGTGGGGGGGAGGGTCAGTGTCATAGTGGGGGGAGGGTCAGTGTCACAGTGGGGGGGAGGGTCAGTGTCACAGTGGGGGTGGGGGAGGGTCAGTATCACAGTGGGGGTGGGTGAGGGTCAGTGCCACAGTGGGGGGGGGGGGAGGGTCAGTGTCACAGTGGGGGTGTGGGAGGGTCAGTGCCACAGTGGGGGGGGGGGGGGTAGGGTCAGTGCCACAGTGGGGGGGGGGGGAGGGTCAGTGTCACAGGGGGGGTGGGGTAGGGTCAGTACCACAGTGGGGGGGGTAGGGTCAGTGCCACAGTGGGGGGGGGGTCAGTGTCACAGTGGTGGGGGGGGTCAGTGTCACAGTGGGGGTAGGGTCAGTGCCACAGGGGGGGTGGGGGGGTCAGTGTCACAGTGGGGGGGGGGTCAGTGTCACAGTGGGGGGGGGTCAGTGTCACAGTGGGGGGGGGGTCAGTGTCACAGTGGGGGGGGGTCAGTGTCACAGTGGGGGGGGGGTCAGTGTCACAGTGGGGGGGGGTCAGTGTCACAGTGGGGGGGGTCAGTGTCACAGTGGGGGGGGTCAGTGTCACAGTGGGGGGGGGCAGTGTCACAGTGTGGGGGGGGGGCAGTGTCACAGTGGGGGGGGGTCAGTGTCACAGTGGGGGGGGGGGTCAGTGTCACAGTGGGGGGGGGGTCAGTGTCACAGTGGGGGGGTTCAGTGTCACAGTGGGGGGGGGGTCAGTGTCACAGTGGGGGGGGTCAGTGTCACAGTGGGGGGGGGTCAGTGTCACAGTGGGGGGGGTCAGTGTCACAGTGGGGGGGGGGTCAGTGTCACAGTGGGGGGGGTTCAGTGTCACAGGGGGGGGGGGTCAGTGTCACAGTGGGGGGGGGTCAGTGTCACAGTGGGGGGGGGGGTCAGTGTCACAGTGGGGGGGGGTCAGTGTCACAGTGGGGGGGGTCAGTGTCACAGTGGGGGGGGGTCAGTGTCACAGTGGGGGGGGTCAGTGTCACAGGGGGGGGGTCAGTGTCACAGTGGGGGGGGGTCAGTGTCACAGTGGGGGGGGGTCAGTGTCACAGTGGGGGGGGGTCAGTGTCACAGGGGGGGGGGTCAGTGTCACAGTGGGGGGGGGTCAGTGTCACAGTGGGGGGGGTCAGTGTCACAGTGGGGGGGGGTCAGTGTCACAGTGGGGGGGGGTCAGTGTCACAGTGGGGGGGGGTCAGTGTCACAGTGGGGGGGTTCAGTGTCACAGTGGGGGGGGGTCAGTGTCACAGTGGGGGGGGGTCAGTGTCACAGTGGGGGGGGGTCAGTGTCACAGTGGGGGGGGGGTCAGTGTCACAGTGGGGGGGGTCAGTGTCACAGTGGGGGGGGTCAGTGTCACAGTGGGGGGGGTTCAGTGTCACAGTGGGGGGGGGGTCAGTGTCACAGTGGGGGGGGGGGTCAGTGTCACAGTGGGGGGGGGGGGGTCAGTGTCACAGTGGGGGGGGGGATGACCACGTACCTTTCACCAAACAAATTAAAGAGCAGTTTGTATGTAAATGGATCTTTGGGACAATTTGGTGACATCAGGAGTTCCTGGAAGAGACCAGAGACGTTGCATTAGGTCAACCCTTGAGGGCTTTTTTGCGACTCTCTCTTCACAATTGTTTCTCAGATAAAGCGCTGCTGTATCTTGTGTGTCGGTGCTCTCACCAGCGCCCGGTGCCACGTGACCCATCCCACCTTTACCTTGACAGTGTCGGGGTGTGTGACGTACAGCATCACTCTGTGTAAGGCGTTCACACGGAAAACTGGTCCGTACGTCTCAGCCCTAAACACAACACAGGAGACAGGTCAGTGCGGGAATCCCAGCCTGGGCTCACTCACTCAACCCCTGAATTAGATCCAGCCAGTAACTCACTCCCAAGCAGGCGGGGGTTGTTATCCATATACCCAACAGAGCCCCTGGATTAGATTCCAGCCTGTAACGCACTCCGGGGGTGGGGCTGGGGCGTTTTTCTAAATGTAACCCCACCAACCCCTGCAGGACAGACTCACCAATTATTTCAACCCCCGCAGTACACTCTCACCACCAACCCCTGTCGTAGACTTACCACTCCAGGAACTTTTCATGAATGATCTTGTATCCTTCCGCGGCTTTCTGAATTGATGGGATGTGTCCCAGCAGGAAACTGCAATACATCGTCACTGAGAGTCAGACACGAGATCACAAACCTTCAACACAGCCCGGGATCAGGTTTCTTTGAGCCGGGTCTGGGCTGACACTGCACAGCAGTGAGGCCTTGTGAGAACTTTAGGGGGACCCTGAAGATATCACATCACCGTTGAGAAAGAGAAGCGAGTTTCTCTCTCCAG